GCATTATAAATATAACACAGCAAGCATACTAAATACAGCTGAACCCCGTTATTTCGGGCACTGAAAAGACACGGTATTAACGGAGTGGGAGAGTTAAATTGCGCGAGAACTAAAATGTTTGTTTTTACAACAGTGGCCGAATGGCGGTGGTTCTACTGTACAAAATTATCATAAAACAGTACATCTCGATGAATAATACTTCTTTCTTTTGATACGGTTGAAATCCAGTCTGAATAKCATAATTTTATATTATTACCGTTTGTATTCGTTTGGATAAAGAAAGTTGTGAGAACGTTGACCTTGTGGCATTCAATGCTTAGAATTTGTATATTAGAAAATTGTATTATAAGACTTCATAAAAAGTTCTTAAACGTTTTCGACAAAACATCATATTAAACTAACTCTTTACTCTAAATTTACCAATGATGGCAGCAGTACATATCTCTTATCATAACAATATCTATGTGTAGTCAGAATGACCAATACCGAAGTACAAACACTTTATGTAATATTATAGTGTAGTTACCTTCAAGATCATCATCGTCATCATCAACTTCTAAATTCGCCAGGGGTGAACCTATAGATGAACGAAAAAAAAACATCAGTCATTATACCAAGCATATGGAACACAAAGAGGGTGTGATGGGGCTCAAAATCAGAGTAACGACCAAGAATTAAGCGTAAAAAAATAGTTATAAAATAAGATAAATATACAAAAATATTTTAATATCATTGCAATGATTATAATTATATTTTGCCCACCTAGATCTTCGTCTTCTTCCATTTCGTCCTCAACGTTTTCATCAGCTTGTTCTAAAAGTCAATTGAACACGATATGAGTTTAAACTCCCGCATCAAAAAACCACGAAAATAGTTTATAATTCTCACCTGGGGTTTCTTCCTCTTGTTCTGGGGCATCTTCAGTTTTTGGTTCTTCTGGAATTTCGGAGTCTTCTTCAGCTGGGGCAGCTCCAATGAAGGCAACGAGACCAAAGATCACGAGAAGAGTCAACGAGAGCTTCATGGTTGTCAGCAGTACGAAAAATTACTCGACTGAATTCAAWGTGAAATTACTTGTTCTTTTATGCGATTAATACCCATGATACTTCACGATGACGGTGTGGTTGTTAGGACGCCGTTACGGCACAATTGTTTATTCAAGAGGCCATGAACTCTTTTGTGTGGGAAGGCACTTGGTTCCAGAAGCTTGATACTCATTWGAGTAGGACTAATGGCAAGACGTACTCAGTCGTGAAAAGCATTACGTGCCGTGTGTAAAGACCATGAAATTTGCTTAAAGCATACCGAATACCAAACAATAACAAACATTTCTAAAATTGTATYTAGTTTTTGCTCTTTTTCATAAAAAAAAAATGCTCTAGTCATAATGAACAATTTAGGTAAAGTTGCCGTGAAGAATTTCTTGGTACCAAGGAATTGCCTTTATTAAAATAAGAGTTGCTAGCTGCTACATGCAGGCAAAATAGATTTAAAGARCACAACTCTCAACAATATTTTCTCGTAAACGTTTTCGATGTATTTATGACATTGCAATAACTTTATTTTATGTAATTTGGGATTGCGTGCATTTAAAAAGTTATGATACAGATGAATAAGTGCTTTAATATTCGGTTGAAATCACACCAAAACTAACTGCACGAATATGGCTTTTTAGATCTATTTACAAAGTTCTTAATTTTGATCTTCTTTATTCAAGATTAGCCTTGACTTTTCTTGAATCATGCCGCGAATCCTTCACGCTGTGAAATCTTTTTTTTAGTTTGTTCCCCGATATATACAAGAACAACTACATTTTTTGTAAAGGGAGCCGTGCAAAGTTCATTGAAGTGAAACACTTTACTCAACACAAGTTTTAAATGGGCATTGTCAGTCATTTAAGTTCGTCTTTGATTCTGATATACAGCTCCGTAATATTGATTTTTTTCGTTTTTTTCATTTAATAATTTTTATAATAAATAATAGTGGAAACATATTTAGACCACGTTTTGGCGTTGACTTACGCCATTTTCAATTATCATTCATTACAAAATGCCTATCTAAAAACGTTATCATTAATAATTCTTATTTTTAATCTAATAATTTGTATCAATGCTTGAATAACGCTTTATTGCAAGAGCGTTGCCCATATAAAATTAAAAATAATAATAATAAATAACATTTATCAATAGAATAATATCCGACGAGTCCTTCTTTTATGCAGCAGAGACCCCCTTTGCAAATTTCACACGCTATCTAATAATGATAGCTGTCAATCAAGAGAATTAATTATTAGTCGTTAGCCAATCACAAACTAGTACGCAATGATAAAGGATGATAATATTACAAGCTTCTCTTTCTTTCTGTATTGTATGTGTGCGTTTAACTATGCAAATTCTCCAAGCCGTTTTCATTGCATTATAGCAAGATCATATGGATTGAAAATTAAGGAATTTCAGATACAGTAAAAACCCGCGTATAAGAACACCTATTTTGGCGGTTCAGGCTGATTTGGTTCTTATATAAACGGTTGATAATCTGCAAAATCAGTCCTTAAGTGTTCTTAAAAAAAGTTTCTAAAAATAAGGAACATAATAGGCTACGTGAGATGAAATCAATATAACAGTACATATGTTTATTTTGTTTAATATTTTGTTATATATAATTGGGGTGGAGCTATTATGTGTACAATC